GCACTGTCGTTTTCAGAAAAAGGCTCCGTTCGCGACAGGGATGTGCTCAAGCTTGTGAGCTTCTGCCTTCTGTGTTAATCGACCACGTGTCAATCCGGAAATGTCTGAAGTTGTGACAAGTCTCACAGGACGACACGTCGTACTTGGGGCAGCAAAGTTAGTGTCTGTTATATGCCACATCAGGTAAGCATCGAGGAAGATGTGCTAAACAGTCTTGTTGGTACCAAAATAACGCATGCGACGAACTTTGCAAAGCATTTGCGCATCCAGTGTTGCAAGCCGTTTTGGTAGACAATCTCGATACATATCCGACAACAACAGGTACGATATTCTGGAAAATAGCACGCTTTTTTGTCAGTGTTATAGATAACTGCTATGATTAAGTGCTGGTGGAAAAATCCAATAACTAGACAGAAATTCGGTGTAGAAGACTGCGCTTTCATCTTCACAAAGCACGTTTTAAAAATTTTTGCATCAAAGAATTATCATTGATTTCAGCATGTAGGTTAGGCCATAACTGCACTTAGATGAATATGCAGAGGAGAACCTCTTCAAGTTATTCAAAAAAATCAAATCTGTTTATCACATTTTTTGGACAGTACGGTCGATAACGGCAGGCGCTTTCTTTGGAGCAAGCCCTGTTCATTCCGTATTCTACATCTGTTTATCGATGGCAACCGCCCTCGCTACGCTCTCGGACGAACTGATCGGCGACTGTGGTAGTTTTGGGGCTGCCTACTGAGCGTTCCAGATCATTTCAGCAGTTCCACTGCTGCTTTTGTACCACTCACTGGTGGAGACGACACTCGCCGCGTTTTCTGACAACTCGCTGACCGAACAACAGTTCTGCCTTTTTGTTTACTTCTCATCGAGGGCGGCAACCCCTCCTGATGTCGCCATCGATCTTATCAGCGGAGTAGTTTCGTTGGTGCTTGATCCTATCGATTATCGACTTGAAGGAACAGAAGCATTCGCATCTAGCTTTCTTGAATTGCCGAAAATGCAAGAAAAAGGTGGGAAAATGTTTTTTGTGGAAATTAGTAATTCATATTTTGTTTTTATATGCTGCGCAAACAGGTAATTTCTCAAACTCAGGATAGAAGTGCCATAAAAATATGAACAAAGACATGGAGCTAACCTCGATGGGAAGCCACTTTGCATAACTTTCAGTGCGCTTGACATACCCGCACATCTGAGCTGCACCAGAATCTGCCCGCCGTCAAACTGATCTGGTCTCATTTCCGAATTCGGCTTGATGCAACGCACAAAATGAGTACCCTGAAGAAAACTATCAAGCACCAGTAAATCCTTATGCCCATTTTTTGGTTTCTTAGATGGAGGCAGCCTCATAATTTTCCTCAATGTTGAAATGATGCGGTAGAGGTTATTGGATATTGGTACAAAAATATTAAAATAAATTAGCTGCTTTAGCAGGAGTTCGAGATGTTCATGTGATGCGCGGTAAATTGCTAAGAAAGTACATTGATCGCACCAAAAACACTGCTTCAACGAAAGCTACAAGCAACAGATGAACATACTAGTGTGGTGATTGGTTAACAAGTTAAAAACACTAAGGACGCTCAGGCGAACGGAGATTTCCAGATTCTACTAGGATGCCATTAGGATTCAATATCTCCGAGACCAAACCAGTCATCGTGATCATTCAGCGCTCGTGATTTTACTGGGATGCTTTCATACGCTGCTCACAACTATGCCAGGCTCATAGTTATATCGTTAAAGGCAATAAAATCCATACCGTGTCATGCAGCTTCTGAAGCAATACACCAAGCTGTGAACGGAATTTTTCACCAACTGAAGATGTTACTAATTTACTCAGTGGCGTGCTACGTCGTGTTTCATCAACGTCCAAATGTTCCTGATCTTCGAATAGTTCTCTGATCAAACTCTTGCTGCAAAAAAGGCATTCTGGTGTACAGTTCTGATCAGTTAGCTTTGGATTTTCGACAGTCCAAGTAAATCCATTTATACTGATACTGACAATCAAGTAAAAACATGAAATAATCACTGGTTGGCAATTTGAAGAATTATAAAAGCAAGTTCTACTTTTTAGAACAGTTGGAAAGCAAGTAAAGAATTAATACCAGGATCACTAGCAGGCTGCCATCATAACGCGGTACACTTTCATTTGTTCGATAATACTACTTTTTGCAAAGACAGTACAGTACAAGGAGAATATAACAGTTGTCGGAGTACTGAATCTAATACATGTGGAATCACAAAAAAAACATTTTAGTACTCCGCATCAAAGATTATAGTGAAAATACAAAATGTCTGTGCTCCGCTCAGACATTTTGGCTTTTTTGAAAGCGAAGATACGACAAGTACGGAAAAAGTACGAAAAAAGTACGGCATGATATGGAGCATCACGATCGCCAGAAGCTGACTACTAGGCAGTGCAGCATTGGTCAAAGCAATTGAAAAAGCTGTCACGTAAATAACTAGAGGACTAAACTGATCAAATTATTACCTTACCTTGAATACCTTGAACAGCTGTTGTTTCATCGACCTCTGGTGTCACGCCGTCGATGCAGCTGGCAACTTCTCCATTTCGATCGATCCTGAGCCTGACGAG